TAAAATAAAATAAAATAAAACTTAAAAAAATAAAATAAATGATAGCAGCTGGGCTTTAAAGAAGACACATTTTCAATGTCACCACTCCTTTCGTGCCTTATCTCCTTGCCTTTTCCACTTGCCTGTGACCAGGTAGATTAACTCTGGGATTGCCCCACGTACCGGGCTCCAGCTCTCTTGGCCTTCAACAGGCCCCCGGAAGCCAGGCACCTAGCTGGAAGGCTGATGTCTGTGCCCTGGACTCACTCTTACTTACTTGTTCTCAAATTCTTTTTCTCCAAACCCTGCCAAGAAATATGGGAAGGCAAGGGTAAGTCCTTTTCTCTCTGCCTCCTTTAGCTCAGTTCGCTGATCCGATGGGCGATGTTTCCTTTCTCCTCTCTCGTAGCCTCTGTTCTGACTTCCCCTTTCTTTTTCTTCTCGCTGCCTTCTGGCTTCTTTCCCTGAATTCCAGAAAGGTAGTTTGTAGCAGAGAAAGGACATGGGCTCTGGAGTCAGGCGGAGCTGATTTCAGATCCTGCTTCTACCTCCACCAAGTCTTAGGGCTTTCCGTCTCTCGTCTGAAGATGGTGGGAACGGGTCCCGCCCTGCGGTCACCTGGTTCCTGGAGATGAAGGGGCTGATGTCCCAGAGAGACTCTGTGAACAAAGGAATGATTATTAGGCTTGTGTGGGAAACCTGTTACAGAGTTGGCTTGCTCAGGTTTGGAGAAGCGCATCAGTCCACTCGACTCCAGTCTTGAAACCTTCTACAACTAGTTTTTACCATGTCTCTCTCTTTCTTTCTGTCTCTCTTTCCCCTTCTGACTTTCTAATTAGAGTATTCACAAAGAAAATTGAATTTTCTGAATTTTGTATGCTATGCTCATCCCAATTTTCTGCTCTGCTTGTTTATGCCTAGCACAGATTTGTTAACATTTTAAGCTGAATATTCCCTGTTCCTTAAACGCTTTCCTTCAAGGAGACACAAGACTCCTTGGCCTTCTCAGAGCTGGGGCAACCTGTCTACAAACAGGCAAATAGCTCTGTACATGTGACCTACAATCTAAACCAGGGTTTAGCAAACCATGACCCCCAAAACTACAATCTGTGGGCCAAATCCAGCCTGTTGCTTGTTTTTATAAATTAAGACTTATTGGAACACAGCCATGCCCCCTTATTACAGATGATTTATGGCTGCTTTTGGCTAAAAGGGCAAAGTTTACAGTTAAATTAAATTAAATTAAGTTAAAAATAAAATAAAATAAAATGGCAAAGTTCAGTGCTTTGGACAGGGTATGGCCCACAAAGCCTAAAATATTTACTATCTGGCCTTTGTTTTTACCACTCCCTGATCTAAACCATTCAGGTTAAACTACTCTGGGCAATTTGGGTGGAATTTCTTTTAAGGAGTTCCTGCTACTTTGAGCAAACCTGACTCAACGTGGTTTCTTGGGCACCTTGCATGGGGCGTGCTGCTCTAGAAGACATATCCTGATTTCCTTCTTCAGCTTTCCTGACGCCAGAGCTATCGTTACTTGAATCTGTTGTTTTTTTCTAGAATGAAACCATTGCAGAGTAAAGTCAGATCTGATGGCTGACTGCGGGGAGGGAGGGGAGACACAGGCATGTGATCTTGCTGGTTCATGTCATAAGTTAGAAAATATTGCATATGTTTGTTCACCAGAGTACTATCTACCAAAGCATCAAGGAACTTCAACACAAAAGCAGCAGACTGGGGGTAAGGACTGATTTTTCCTTTTCTGTCCTGGGTGGGGCGGGTCTTATCATAAAAGCACACACAGACTCTCAGAGATGTTGGTTTTATAAGTATTTAAGTTTCAAAAAACAAACAAAAGGCTTGGCTATCTACCCATTTTAAGTGTCAAACTGGGTTTTCCTACCACTTGCTTTCTGCAAGTACGTCTCACCTTGGCGCACTATTCGACACACAGGCGAAAGCTGTGTCTTGATGTGTGGGACACAAGCTCAGAAGATGCATGGTCGCTGTTACTGAAATAAGGCTACCTGCACAATCCAGTGCCTTCTGACCACAAATGCATTCTCACTGTTGGGTCCATGGCGGGCTTCTCCACCTATCTCCCCGCCCGGAGACCCAGCCTGAAGGAACAGCTCCTGTCTGGGCCACCTCATGTCCTCGAGGTGGAGGACAGGCAATCAGAGGGTGAATGGAAACAGGCTGCCCTTTCGGAGACTGCCTAGAACCAGCACTCTGCCGCTGTACCTACGTTCGATTGGCCAAAGCAAGGGACGTGACATGGCCGGACCTATCGTCACGGGGTGGGGACGTATGTCCCCGCCCATGAGAAGCCAGGCCCAGAAAGACATCAGTGATCGGGACCACAGGGGCCTCCCTGGGACCACAGACATCCCCACAGCAGAAACTGAGCTCTGTGGCTATGGTGTGTGCATCTTGTATCCTCAATGCCAATAGGCAACTCAGAAAATATTTCTTTATTGAGCAGACTAGGCTGCCCGTGAGAGGTTTGGAATGTCAGTCAGCCACAGTGGAAGACTCCGTGGTCCTCCCTGCGCTTTCCTCACAGCTGCCTTTGCAGACCTTTGCCACAGGGCTTCTTGCCCCATGCAGCTGGGTCTCCCGCGTGAACCGTGAGCTCCTTCAGTTTAGCTGGTACACTCCCTGGGCAACACTGAGTCTGCTACTTGACTGACATACCAAGACCCTGAGTTCCCCCTGAAGACTATTCTAGTAGGTTTACTCTGCTTGGGGACCATCACTGTACCTCTAATCACGGTTGTCCCATGCCAAGGGAAGCTGGAGACAGACTGGGGACTGCGCGCTGGTCCCTTACTACGCTGCACCGCTTACGTTCAGGGTGACGGTGGGCAGCTATGCCTTCCCCTTCACAAAGGGCCGGTGTGGGGGCGAGTTGGGGTGCAAATCAGCTCTCTACCCACTGGCCGGGCTGTGTGCCCTGAGGTCTCCGGGCAGAACAGAAAAGGCACCTTTTCTAATTTGACCAAGCTGCCAGGTGGGGATTCTTATCTGTGTGAAATAACTAGGTACAAATCCCAGGTTTTGTGTCCCCAGCCTGGTGACATCAGGCAGGGTCAGCCACCTCCCCTGTGAAGGGAGCCTATCACAATGCCTTCCAAGAGCCTGTTCATACCAGAGCCCCCCTTCTCCATGGGGGGTGCATTCAGTGCAGGCCTGAGGCCACAGGGGGTACGGGACCCCATCGTACTTAGTTCTTTTCCCATACATACACAGCTCCGATAAAGTCGAGTTGATAGATTAGGCACAATAAGAGGGGAAAAACAATAATCAATAATAAAATAGAACAATTATAACAATATACCATAATAGAAATCATGTGAATGTGGTCTCTCTCTCTCAAAATATCTTACCGTACTGAACTCCCCCTTCTTCCCGTGATGAGGTGAGATGATAAAAAGCCTGAGTGCGGGGCAAAGGGAGGGGAATGGCGTAGGCATGTGGCAGAGCATTAGCTACTATTGACCTTCTGACCATACGTCGGAAGGAGGGTCATCTGCTTCTGGATCCCGGGTGAAGGAAACTGTGGATAAGGTGGGGGATTCTTGGACTCAGTGAGGTGATTTGGATTAAGAGCTTGGCCCGGTGTCGGGCACAAAGTGAGTACTTGGTACGTACTCCACTCCTTCCCCTGCCCTCAGAGGGCTGGGCTGGTTCTGTGGTCTTCTTAACTAGCAAGTTGTGGTGGTGTGGGGCCGAGCTAACAGCACCCAAATCCACATGCCAACCATCTAGTTAAATCCCTTCATCCCTTGAGACCCTGTCGATCGCTGTGTTTTCCAGGTGAAAGTGGTCAATATCCTTTCCTCTCTGGATTCTGCTCAGGACTTCCTCAAAACCCGCATCTCCTCAGTTATTGTTGAAGTAAGTGGATGTGAGCCCGTCACTCCGTGGCTGCAGAGAGTATGGGATAGTCCTCTTAATGATTTTACTACTCTTTGATTTCTTTCCAGGAAAGTAAGAAGTATGGGAACACGATAGTAGGATACTTTGAACGCTATCTGCAGTGGGTCAAGTTCTCAGTAAGTAGTTTATCTTTAATGAACTTAAGAGGGCCATGTGCTAGGATAGTCATGTTCTAGGATAAAATCAGGAGGAAATAAAGTTAAGTTCCTAGTAATTGGGTAGGAGATAAGCAAAGGACCTCGAACGTGGGGACCGTGAAGAGGGGGCTCCTAGGACTCAGCACATGTCATCCACACTGGACCCCTTCTCAGGCCGGCCCACTGAGCTGGAGAACATGCCCTCACTTTCTCCCCCAGCTCCTTTGCTCGCCATTTTGGGGGTTCCTGCCACACTTGACTCTGTCTCCCCAGTGAACTATGAGCTCCCTTCAAAGCGGTGGTGTGTTCGTGCCCTGGGCCCCGCTGAGCCTGTCAGGTGGTTGGTGTATTAGTCTACTTGGGGTGGCTTTAGCAGAAAACAGAAATTTGTTTTCTCACAATTCTGGAGGCTGGAAGTCCAAGATCAAGGTGTCAGCAGGGTTAGTTTCTTCAGAGGCCTCTCTGCTTGGCTTGTAGGTGGCTGTCTTCTCTCTCTGTCTTCACATGGTCATCCCTCTGTGCATGTCTGTGCCCGAATTTTCTCTTCTTTTATAAAGACACCAGTCATGTTGGTTTAGGACTCACCCTGATAACTTCATTTGAGCTGAACTGCCTCTTCAAAGACCCTACCTCCGAATACAGTCACATTCCAAGAAACCGGGGGGTAGGACTTTTGTCATCTTGGGCTTTGGGTCTGCGTCCCTCTGAGGATTATTCCACTGGGGGAGAGGTGCGGGGGGTGGGTGGGGGATGGAGGGAGATGCTTGCAGCTGAGTTACTTGAATAACCTGGGCTGCGTTATGTGGGCTACTTGCTGTCAGCCAAGACAGGCTCTGAGAAGTCTAGGGACTCAGGAAAATTTAGACTACCCCGAGCAGCCTCGAGTGTCTCCTATCTATTCCCAGCCCTCAGCCGCATGAGCCGAGACTACCGGCCGTCTCGTCCCTCTTTGCTGCCCCACCCCCATATTCCAGCCACACCCAACTGCTTGATTCTCGGAAACATTCACAATTCTCCACGTGATTCCCTCCGTATCATCTCCCCCTCCCCAGTCCCCGCCTCCAGTCCCCACAGTCTGGGCCCTGAGCCTGGTTCTCCCTCAAGGCCCAGCTTTCTGATGTCTATTCTGACACCTCCTCCTGCCTCCCAGATGTGAAGACCTCGGGGTCTTCTCAGTGCTGGGGTGAAGGGCGTGCACACGCAGGTGAGTAAGGGCAGAAGAAATGCATTATCAACATCACCACCACGGCCACTCAACCCTGTGCGTCTCCTCCACCAGACCAAGGAACCACAGCTTGGTCATGTTCATATAAAGCAAATACCCTGAAACCCAAGTGAATCTGGACAGGAATGGTTAAGTCGTACAAGAGCCACACGATGGGAATATTAAGTGGCCATTTGTACAAAATGGATCAGCGCTATGCCAAGGGACTAGGAGAGATTTTTACAGGGTAGAAATAAGAGAGAAAAGAAAGATGCAGAAAAGCATACAGAATATGACTCCTACCCTGCTTTTTGTAAAACCAACAGTTGAAAAGCCCAGAAAGAGAGTGTACGGGGTTGTCTGAGCTTGGTAAAAATAAAGTTGTTAACATGGGTTGCCTTGTAAGGTATATATGGAAGAAAAGGGGAAGGTGAGTCCACCCATAAAGGAAAAGAAATAGGACACATCCCTGTCCCAGTGAGTGAACATCTAGCTCACTATACGCACTCAGAAGTTTTTTTTTAATGAATGACTATAGTTAATCTTAAGTCAATGGGATTGGAGCATCTGTTTGTGATTCATTAGACTTGTATGAGCACTGGGTGGTGTACGCAGTTGAAGGATTGTTGAACGCTACATCTGAAACTAGTGATGTACTATAGGTTGGCTAAATGAATTTAAATTAAAAAGAAATAAAATTAGTTTAATTGATTATTAAAAACTTGTTTATTCTCACCTCATTAATGAGTTCATAGTTTTCAATCTTCTAAAATGGGGTCAGCAGGTGGCGCTGTTTCTGTAAACACAATTTTACTGGCACGCAGGCACACCCGTATGTTTCTGCATCCTCGGTGGCTGGTTTTGCCATACACAGCGGGAGTCCAGCACCTGTGACAAAAGTGTCTCAGCCTGCCCTGCGAGGTCGAGAGTATTGACTCTCTGGTCCTTTATAGAAAAAGTTGGCCAAGCTCTGGTCTAAATGATAGAAGTATTGTTTAATTAGCTTTCCATTTCTTCCCCATATCCTTTGTCAGATCTCAAAGGAGTCAGGCGAGAAATTCAGACTGAGCCCCTGTGCTGGAAATCTGGACTTCTGCATTCTCTCGGGAGCCTGGCAGGGTGGGCCTTATTGTTCCGAATAACAAGGGCAGAACTCAGAGACCCGGGCTCAGACAGAATCAGCACCTCGCTTTCGAGTACCTACTTGTATACACCGTGGAGCTCATCCCTAGCCATCAGCTCGCAGCTCTGTATCTGAGACGGTGTAGAGATCCTTTTTGTGAGAACAGGTCAAGGGTAAACGACACATCTAATTCTTGTGGATTTTTGTGGGCGTGGCTCAAAGCTCCCCTGTGTTTCTTACCCCACAGATTACTGAGCAAATTGCAGCCTGTAAACCCGTGGCCACCGCTTTGGACTCTGCTGTGGACGTCTTTCTGTGTAGCTACGTTATCGACCCCCTGGTAAGAATTTCATCTTTCGAAATAACGAAACACAATAAACTGGTCACTCTTCATGGTTTGTTGGCAGACTGTAGTACGCCCTAGGATATAAAATAGTTTTGCGCTTGAGTCCATTACTGTTGTAGAATCCAAGACCTAAAATCTAAAATTTAGATGAACGTGTTGTGATACCTAACAGGCTGGGAAAAGCCAAAGACCTAGCTGCTTACCTTTGTCTCTTACTAGAGTTATATTTATAGAAGTCAGGAGACCCTCATGAAGAAAACTTCTATTTGTCCAGAATAGATGGAAAGAGTGGTCACTGGTATGCATATTGCCAATATGTAAAAGGATTCTTAGTGCAACTATGTAGATACAGTTACAGATACAGATATAGATATAGATACATAACCCCAAAGCTATAGCAAACTTAATTTTTTTTAAAGATTTTGTTTATTTATTTGACAGAGAGAGAGAGACAGAGAGAACACAAGCAGGGAGGGGACGGCAAGCACAGGGAGAGAGAAGCAGGCTCCCCGCTGAGCAGGGAACCTGAAATGGGGTTCGATCCCCAGGCCCTGGGATCATGACCTGAGCCAAAGGCAGATGCTTAACCTCCTGAGCCACCCAAGTGCCACTTAATTTAATTTTTTATTTAAAACCCTTTGAGATATTACCATTGGGATGGTAAGTTCCAATTAATCAACTTTATTCCTTAGCTCTCTTCACTCCTCAATATACACTGACCATCTCTGCAAGCCAACCCTCTCATTTCCTCTGCTGGAAGCACCTCGGTGACTTCTTGTGGCTATCCCCAGCGAAGATCAGGGTCCTTAACTGAATACACTAGGCCCTGCATGATTGGGCCCCTGCCCATGGAGGCTACATTTTGCACTATTTGATCACCTTTCTCTCCAGACACACGTTTTCTTTCTCTTCTTTAAATCCATCTCGATGTCCCCACCTCAGGGCCTTTGCACATGCCATTTCTGCTACCTGGACTGTAAACCACATGCACACACACTCTCTCCCTCTCTCTCATTCTTCCCCTCCACACCCACAGCCCATCTGGCTAACTCTAGCTCTAAGTCCGCCATTGAGTGAGAACACAGGCTCTGGATTTGGACTGTACTTCTACATTTTCTGAACTCTGTGACTTTGAAAAACTATTGAATTTTCTGAGCTTCGTCACCCGAGTAGGGCTGTTTGATAGTTCAGTGAGAGATTATGTGTCAAGCCCTTGACGCCATAGCTGGTACGTTGACACTCAATACATGTTTGCTATTACTAGTGAGCAGCAGTCAGGTCTTAGCTCAAACATGTCTTTTTTTCCAGGAAGCCTTTCTGATCTTCCCACCTAGATTGAGCTCCCTTTTCTACACTCCCATAGAACTCTATGCTTTTCCTTTAGAGGTGTTATTGCTGTTTGAATTGCACATTTGTGTGGTTCTTTGATTAAGGCCTGTCCCCTGCGGCACACTCTAGACTCTCGACTCCCTGAGCAGAGGGCCCGTGTGTTGCTGCGTCCCTGTCATCTGGCACATTGCCTGGCATAGGCAATTGAATGAATGATGATCGGACAGCTGTTTGTCAAAGTACATCTGTATCGCTCCATCTGCCCATCTCCCTGTCCCACATCCACACGTCCATCTTTCTGCGAGACGGACCTTCACACCTGAATGGAAACACTCCTGCGCTCTCCCAGCCATGCAGACCCCAAGGCTTGGCTTCCTGGCCGCCTTCCCTCCTCCCCAGCCTGTTAGGGGCTTTGTGCTGCTGCTTGGACCCCCGCTTGCCTGAACCCTCCTTAGGCATCCTGGGCTAATCTTGTTGATTCTGAATTAATCTCGTTGCATCCAGTCTTCACCACCTGCCCCAGCTACTCAAATCACCCAACTATCAGATGCTTTCCACAAATAATTGGAGACCAGTGAAGGGGAGGCCTGGAGGCTGGTCAGGAAGATCGTAGGCTGGAGCTTTATAGCAGGGCGGTCTAAATAGTCAGAAAGAGCTCTGGGCATTGATTTTGCCAGGAAAACAGACTCCAGACTGACTAACATGTTCCTTTTATATCTCGATTGTTCCCGGAAGAATTATGGCAGCTTCCAGTAAAAGTATATGGTTGTCATCAAGCTCTAAAGCCTCTCAAAACAAGTTTGAAAGCATAGAAACGTGCCAATAAAAGAACGTGGTGGGGGGGGGGAGGGAGGAGAACAAATCTACTGGGAATTCTGGGCCAGGAGGGGCCACTGCCATTCGATAGCACATCCCATCAGGAGAAGAGCAGGATCGCAGTGGCTGAGCCATGAGGGTTGGGGTGGGGGGCCATTGTGACATCCAAGCTGCCTTTGCCTCGCGGTGGGCTGGGGAGCCGGTCCTAGTGTTAACGACAACATCCTAGGGCAGCGGCAGATTTTGTGCATTTACGAAGTCGGCCAAGTGTACGATGCTGGCCAGTGTATGATGCCCACAGGGTCATGCTGGTCGTTCCCAGGTGCGACCGTTGTGACTGGTGAGTAAGGTTACACGGCGTTGGGTGTCGCCCCTGCAAAAGCTAGCAGTGTGGCCTGGGGCAAACCGAGGACAGATACCCCTCTCGACGGAAGAACCACCACTCAGCTACAGCTGGTGTCGCCTCGTGGGGATGGGGGCTTAGTGTTCGGAGATTGAACTTCAGCCTTTTCAAGAAAGGACATAAACCCAAGTTCCTATGTGAAATCCGACTTATGAATGTTGGCAACTACTTTTTGAAACTACTTTAAGCTGCCTTGTAGACAAAACAGGGTTGAATACAGCCTATGATCTGCCCTCAAACTGGCTAAATGAACTATGGAATGTTTGTTGAGAGCCTCGTAATTCTGCCTTTTCCACACAATACTGTTTTGGAATGAGGAGGCTGTGGTCCCCCTGTTCTGATGCCCAGCAAGACCAGGAAAGTGAATTAGCACATCGGACAACTCCGGAAAGTGATTCGGCTCAGGCGGCCGGAGGGCTCTGCGCTTCTCCTTGGCAGCAAAGGGACGCCATCTGGTGGGGTCTTAGATTCAAACCCTTGCTTCTCCACTTTCTGCCTCTGTTCCTCATTTGTAAAATCAATATAATAATAGGACCGATTCGAGGTTTTCAGAAAGATTTTAGGACTTACAGTAATATGTAGCGCTTCACACAGTGGCTGACTCGTATTTTGTTCACAAATGGTCTCCATGAACAAAATTAGGACTCATTAAAAAAATTGCAAAAGGAAGGGACATCCCCCCCCTCTGCCGCCAAGCAACTGCTATTTCCCATTCCCCATCTTCAGGCATGTAATCCTCCTGATTTTCTTTTCTTCCTTAGAATTTGTTTTGGTTTGGCATAGGGAAAGCGACCATATTTTTACTCCCAGCCATCATTTTCGCTGTGAAGCTGGCCAAGTACTATCGTCGAATGGACTCAGAGGACGTGTACGATGAGTAAGTAGACATTTCTGCAGAGTTTGGGGAGCGCGGTCACTTTCTAAGTGGTACTCACCTCAGAGAGCTTGCGAAAGATGAGATTACACTTGGTCTTTTCTTAAAGTAGGGGTCACCTCTGTTCAGGTGTCTTCTTTGTACCGACTTTCTTATGGTTGTTTTAGCTCTGTTTTCCCTCTTGCTTACTCTTCTCGGCATCCTTAACCGACCTTCTTGTTTCTTGTTTGCAGTTCCTCTGTCTTGGGGACTTGGCACTTTACTTTATAACTGTTTTTACCAGTTTTCATTTTGACTCTGTAGCCTACGCTCTGTAGCCTCTGTGATGACCCTGTATGCTTCATTTTTACTTCTCTCACTTCCCTCTCGACCTGTGTCTCTCCTGAACTTACTCTGTCAGCATCTGTATTAGGGTAAAAAAATGTGGGGGATGCAGCTGTTGAGCTGTAATAGTAATTTAAAAAAAATACTGTATCTCCCTTTTTAGTATTTTATAGTGCTGAAACTGTATTGCCAAAAAGTAAGCGTCTTCTTTTTTTAACCATATTTATCAGATGGGACTGGGGAGGTCATCATTATTAATATATGATGGGCTTATAAAATAAAAGGAATAACATCTTAAAATTACATAAAGACATTAGATATGCCCAGATAAAAATCAGTGCTGATGTCTCTTAAAATGAGAGCTGGCACATACAACGTCCTGAAGAAATACTTGTTGAACTAATGACATTTTATACGTTCAGTTTATTTATCTATAAAATGGTTGTTTCAATACTTGCTTTTAAAGGGAGCAGAATGTGAATATACCTTTTCACCTTCTTTGTAGACTTCACAAATTGTCATATACTTTTCATGACCGTTAGATTGCCTTTGTAACCCATGATGTAAATACTTCATCTTAGAGGTAACGTGGTGTTTTTGGTATATTTATTTTTGTTGCAGTATGGAAAATGGTAATATTGGTTTTCATAGACATCATTCTACTCAGACTGTATGAATAAAGTTTTTGGACAGATCCAACAGCACAGCACCTCCAAATACTGGAAAAGAAACACTTCCCTCCTGGAGTTTACAGAGTTCAGTGATTTTTATATTCAACATGCACTGACGCGCCAAAGAGTGAAAAGGCGTGTACACCTATTTTTTTTTTAATCTCTAGAAGTTTTGCTTTAATCATCTGAGCCTTTGATGAAAGTTTCAATATGTAATACATTCACCGAATTTCCAGTTTAGCTTTGGGAACAAGACATGAATTGTGTCCCATTTCCTTGCTTGGGAACTTAGACTTGTAGTTAGAGAACGCTCAGCAAATCGCAGATGTGCGTGTGTGTGAACAATAAAAGAATGATTTCAGAAATCTGACTCTAATCCTCTTATTGAAAAATATTCCTATATGATAAATACCAGTTACGTCACTGTGTCCTTTTCTCAGAGCTGCTGTAACAAATTATGCAGAGGGGGTGGCTCTACACAGAAGTGTCTTCTCTTGCAGTTCTGGAGGCCAGGGGTCGGAAATCCCCTTCCCCAGAGAAGGAAGACTCTGTTTCATGCCTTTCTCCTCGAGTCTGATGATTGTGACAATGCATGGCACTGTTGGGACACATCACTCCAATCTCTGCCTCTGTCTTCACAGAACGGAGTCTGCTCTTGTGTGCCTGGGTCCAAATCTCCTTCTGCTTCTAAGGAGTCATTGGATCAGGGCCCATCCTGATCAAGAATGACCTCGTTTCGCTTTCATCACATTTGTGAACAACCTATTTCCAAACATCCACAGGCTCTAGGCGGATACGAATTCGGGGGGGAGGGGCGGACACGGTCCAAGGCAGCACCGTCACACAACAGCAATAGCTAATACTCAGAAAGATAGGGGAGGGAGTTTGAAGGAGAGCTACTCTACACACAGAAACTAAGTTAAATAACCCAAATCACAAGAGACAGAAAAATGACAAATTTTACGAGACATGTACAAGATAGTGACTCACCCCCTCTTCATTTTACATTTGTCTTTATTTAAGAACATGTTAATACTCCACTGCTTGTGAGCAAAGATTGTCTCTTTATCTGACACAGTGATGCCCAGCCCCTGCCACACAATGGATTCACGTGGCTGATACTCAGGTCCCACCCTTAGAGACTCTGATATAGTTGGCTAGGGATGTGGCCCAAACATGTGGATTTTTACATTTCCCCAGGTGAGGGGTGCCTGGGTGGCTCAGTCGGTTGGGCGTCCAGCTCTTGGTTTCGGCTCAGGTCATGGTCTCCGCATCGGGCTTTGCACTCAGTGAGGAGTCTGCTTCAGATTCTTTCTCCCTCTCCCTCTGCCCCTCCCCACTCACACACTCTCTCTCTCAAATAGATGGATAAAGCTTTAAAAAAAAAAAAAAAAATTTCCGCAGGTGATTCTAATAGAAACAGTACCCTAGATTAACGAAATCATTTTCTGGGATATATCCCATGTAATTCTCATGTACAACCTGGCTTGAGAACAACTAATACAGCTCTCTATGCATTTCATCCATAAGGACCCTGTCCCTCAGATAAGATCTCAGAGAGCTGTGTTCTGCTCACTGATCGCTGCTCCTCATCACAGAGGTGCAGATGCAGAAGCGGCAGCCATTGTTGCAGTCCTGAGGACCAGCTGCATGGGGCTCGCACTGTCTTCTCTGTGGGGAGTCTGCAAGGCTGATGACACGGTCAATCCAGCGATCTTGCCCATCTTGCCCAGTCGAGTCTTTCAAAGTCCATTCTACTTCTTCATGACACCACCAGCTGAGAATGAGAAGGAATAGATAATGTCCACTGAATGTCACGTCCACTAGCCCGCTGTCAGGACCCCCTGGGCAGCATATGACAGTAAATGTCCCAGACCTCCAAAATACAGCAGAGCTCGGTCTCAAGGGCCACTATAGGGTGGCCAGAGCCTGCCACTCCCACACGATGGCAATTTCGCTTATCGGGTTGGGTCAAAGGCCACAAGAAGCCAGAAGTTGCCACAAGATGGCAGCAGAGGACACGTGTAATCTATTTGCGAAGCATGCCCTTAGCGCTAGAGGGTTCTTGCTTAATCTTAGAAAATCAGGAGGAATTTTACAAAGGAGGATAAACAAACGGCCAATAGATTAAAAAAAAAGAAGAGGAAAAGAAAAGAGAAAAGAAAGGAAAGGAAAAGAAAAGAGAAGAAAAGAAAATCAGATCATTGTATAGGCCATTTCAGTGTCCTTGGCATGCAGATGGAGGCTCGTCCTTAGGGCCCATGCAGTCGGTGGCAGGACTGGTCTACACAGGCAACAGCACTGGCCACCATGCAGGCCTGAACAGCCCCGGCTCGGCCTGCACCTCCCCACGGGCATCCACGTGGGGTACAGAAGATGTTTCATCAGGTGCAGCAGTGGCCTTCCAGAACTCGCAATTCCAGACACGGGGGTCTTCAACATACGTGTCATTCGTCACCACCAGTCCGGTTGCTAGCGGGGCCAAGGACAGATGGCAGAGGCATGCCTGATACTTAAGGGTATTGTGTCAAGAAAGGCAAGAGCCTTTGAAGTCAGCCCACCGGTTCCTTCCAGAGCTGTTACTGGCACCCGCAGGGCGGCTGCACCCAGGGGACTCCGTCAGCTGGCGCTGAGATGAGCCTTCCAGAAGCCAGAGCCGCGCACCCTCAGACCTTCCTGGGAGCCCTGTCCAGGGAGCCAAAGGCTCGTGTGTGAGTAATCACGGGAGATACGACCGGTCCCTAGAGGTGGGGCACTACCTTCTTGTGTGAAGGGCACCTGCCTCTGGGACCTGACTTGCTGTTCTGGGATGTTCCGTTTCCATTTTTATGAGAAGTAAAAAACATCTGCTTTCCCAGGATCCGAGGGGGCCAATGCAGGCAGGGGACAGTCTGGCAGTCGTCCCTCAGCCCCTCGCTCTCCACAAGTGTCCAGCAGCCATCAGCTGCAGGGTGTCAAGTGCTGCACAGCGGGGAGCCTCGTGGGCAGAAGGAGGAGCCCCGTGGCCGCGGCGACTCTGGGCAGGGGTGCCTCCGGCTGCCAGAGGCATCCCTCAGCACACTCCCCTGCGTCAGACCGCGGGATTCCACCAAGATCCTTGGGGTTCGCAGGCCCTGGGTAGGGGGCCCATAGGGCTGCCTCCCGCACACCTGCTACCCAGGCCCCCAGGCAAACTGGGCAGATTTTCCAGCCTCAGCAAGTTACCAGGATGAGGCACATATCGTCTCCTGTCCCCGAACAGCCCAACTAAGTCCGCGCTTCCCACTTGCCTCGTGAGGTCTGTGGGGGGTGTAACTCTCCGTTGCTGTCTCAGGAATCCATCTCCAAGCCTCAGTCCACAGTCCTCCCGAGAACTGACCAGAGGCTGGCCCCTCAGGACTCGGCTCCTAAGCTGCTGCCGCCTGCTCTTCCCGGGAGCCCACGGGCTTGACGTCGTCAGTGCAGTCACCCCTTCAGGGGACAAGAGTGTGAGCATTCGGGCATCCCTGGGGCGGGACAGTAAACATGTTTGCAGGCCCAGGTGAGCTTGCAGACAAACGATCTTTGACACTTTGTGCCAAAGAGATTGAGCAAAAGGCACTCGCCATGCCCAAGACAGGATCCTGCCAAAATGCATGATCAATATAGCTGCAGTTGGAAGTCTGACAAGGCTGGGGTTCTAGAGGCAACAACTGAATTTTGTTCGCGTTAATCCACAGTGGAAACACCCATTTTGGATTCACGTGAGGAAGAAATGAGTTTTCAGTGTGTAAAGCCCACAGGGTTGGGTGGTGTTGTTCTAGCAACTGGCATTCCCCAGCTGAAGCACTCGACTACTGCACAGTCTCTAGGACCTTGTGAGTGGCACATAATCTGCCTGGGTTTCATACAGGAAATCTGTTTGTCAGATTAATTAAATTGATGACTTTAAACTGATGGTATTGACCTCCTCATCCCTAATATATACTCCTCCTCTCACACCTGAGGATTCAAAGTTTATATGAACGTGGGACAGATTAAGCACAGACCGGTCACTGACCTTTTAACAACAATCCCACCGTCTGCAGGAAGGATTTAGGACCAGCCTGGGAGGTGCATATATTATGGCAGGGGTCTAACTGCTTTGAATAAAATGGCTAAGAAAAATGTGAGAATGAAAAATCCTTGCTGCGCATCCACTTGCAAATATATCTGGGTCTGTGAGCTCCTGAAAGATTGCAGTTTATAATCAGCACAGAGGGACCCTCAGAAGGACTTCTTTCCGCCTGGAGAGCTCAAGTCGGATGTTGTCTGGGAGGCAGTTGGCAGGTCTTCTCACTGGTCTTTTAATAATATTTTTGGGGGCGCCTGGGTGGCTCAGTTGGTTAAGCGTCTGCCTTCAGCTCAGGTCATGATCCTGGGATCCTGGCCCCAGGTAGGGCTTCCTGCTCAGCAGGGAGTCTGTTTCTCCCTCTGCCTCTGCCCCTCCCCCACTCTTGCATGCTCATGCGCTCTCTCTCTCAAATAAAGAAATAAAATATCTTAATGTTGTCCTGAAGTCATATGTGTCCATGCTCTAGGAGTGACAGCTGGAAAAACTTCAGACCTATTAAAGATAGTGACCAAGTTTGTGTGGAGACATGTTTCCCACCCCTCTCCAACCATCTCCAGTACCCCCACCCCACACTTCCCAGGGATGCCTGTTCCCTTTCTGCCTCTCCTTCCTTTCCTTCCTTTCTGTCCCCAGAGCCACGGCAGGCCAGCTGCAAGCTGAAGTCTCACCAGGATTTCTCCTCCTGGATTCTCCCAGAGTCCTGTACTCAGGTGGTATCAGGCTTGGTTTGGAGCTATGGTGTCACTTTTCATCTTTTTCTACCTGAGCAGAAAGCAGGCTGTACCTGGAGCTGGGGATCCAGTGCACCTGAAAGAAATGACTTTCGGTCAGTTTGCTCATTGTTAATTCAATTTAAAATAACGGCCACTCCTGTTACTGTTGTGGTAAAGATCTCTTGTAAATAGATGCACAATCATATTCAAATGACAGTAGATAGCACTGTGGTTAATCAAATGCAAATAGATTACCAAATTTCCATGGGCTTTGTGGCACCTTCGGAAGGAAGATTAGGGTAAGTACACCGGCTTTTTTAGAGACTCCATGACCTGTTTAGAGCCCTGGCTTCACCAGTCACTAGCTGTCTGTACTCTTTCATTTCCTCCTCGCTGCATGTGGATAAGACTAGCACCTATCTGGTGAGCAGGGACTGGGTGAGCTCATCACGCAAACTGTGTGCAGTAATGGCCCATGTCATAGCTGTTGCTGCCCTCACCATAGTGTTGCTCAAGCACTTTTAGTAAATGTGTGGGTGCTGTGGTGGGGAGGTCTGCCCAGGTTGTGG